TAGACATTATTTTTTCTACTAGTCAACGTAATTTTTTTGCAAACCTCTTTGATTTGTCCTCTATGTTAGTAGACTATTCTGTAGATATTTCAAGCCTTATACATATAGTAGGCTCGCTTCTCTTCGAAGAAGTAATGGAGGAGTGAAAAGTTCGAAACATCGTAATGGAGGCACGTGGTTTCGCACTTTAGCCATCGATTTCATACTTTAGTTATGTCAGGTTAGGCTCCATTTTTTATCTGAATATAATATTATCAGCAAAAAAAAAAACAAAAACAAAAAAAAACTATGAGACAAATATCATCATAATTACTGGAACTTACACAGTCTTCAACTCCGTGCTTTAAATTCACCAGCGAAGCCCCGCAAAAAGGTGTGATCCTGCGTGATTAGCTCACTGCTATAATGGGATTAATTATTTGTCATGTTATTTTCCGATGATTCGGTCGATTTAGTCACACCACTTCCCTCGAAATTATTTCATCGCACATAGAAAAAGTCGGACGCCCCCACTGTGTCAGTGTTAAAGGATGAGAAGCCCTACGAAGACTTACAGTCGTCATATCTGTCCAAAACCTTACGTATTAAATTACGGTAGGGAGTGAACATATTTAAACGTATGAGCACACCGTATTCATTGTAAGACAGTCGTCGACCACTTTGGGGCACGATTCGGTGAATAAAATCGATTTTCATGGATTATTTGTTGGGTTTTTTTCTGAATTATTTCTACAAAATGCTAATCCTTTCAATTGGTAAAGCTTTAACGATAACTTTAAAATCACGGATTTCTGATGCGCCTCTGCTTGGTATATTCATAGATGCCACTATTTCTGTTCTTAGTGCAAACGAAATTTTCCGAGGCCTTACCCATACTTGACGCATTCTGGCGATTCACGAATTTAAGAACCGCCCAGGCGCATTAGCGCAGAATGCACTAACGAGCCGCACACATGCCCGTTTACACTTTCTAGGGATGCATTCTTTACGTTTGAATCAGCGCTGGAATTTTGTACCGACCGGGAAGTTTAATTTGACGAGGAAAACCTGAAAATCGAAAATAGGGGGAAATCCTGAAAATACGAGGAACAACACTTTCCTGTAATGTCGGTCTAAAATTTTAAACTTGATCGCTTGGACGACCCTATTGATAAATTCTGACTCTTTTTTTGCTCCGTGTTAACATCGGCAAACATACATACATTAAAGTCGCTTCCACAGCGCGCCCGGGCGCTCTGCGACACCTAATCGCCACTCTTGTCTGTCAATCCAGAGATCATCTGGTAAATGGCATCTTGTAATTTCATCGTGAATGCCACCTATCCACGATTTTGCTGGACGTCCCCTTCGTCTTCTCCTAGGAGGAACTCAATCCAATATCTTCTTAGGCAATCTGTCATCATCATCTCCATCTGCCATTCGTCGAACATGACCATACCAGACAAGCTGTACATCGGCAAAACTTAGGGAAAAGTAGCAACGCGCAGTATCTGACAAAATTTGAAAATACCATGTAAAAACTGCACTCCGGAAACACAAAAAATTACAGTAACACCTGCATGGCTCCAGTAGATACGTTGGCGGCATCGCCCTTTCGGACGCCTCGCGCGCATCCGAGATGAAAAGTGTTCCNGGGGGGGGGGGTGTAATCGGGTTATGAAAATTTAATTAAATCAATCTGAAAGTGTTCCGGATGGCGATGGCCAGCGCGAAATTATCCCGCCGTGAGCTTGACATTGTGATGGTCTTTGTTGGTTTTTCTCTCCTTTCTCCTGCTCCGGGTCCATTCTTTCGGGGTATTTGATTTGGTCGGTGCCGTTATTCCGTGGATCCGACGCCGGGAGCCGGCCGGCCAACTTCCAACGCGTGCGGCCATTGATCGCCGGAACAATAGGGATCATCGGAAATTAGATCGTCGGACCGCGCCGCGCTGCTCCTGCCCCGCTCATAGATCCGCTCCAAATATCGACGTATGAAATTATCGTCTACGCGCTGGTATTTTAAAAATTCAGGGAGGTGTCCTCGGAACACGTTCGCGGAATTTCCAGGAAGCGGTTTGCAAGGCGGTTATTGTCGGGAGGGGAAATCTGAAAAAGCGGGAAAAGTTAGGAAGAACTGGGGCAAGTTGATAGAAGAGGCAGCATGTTAGGTGAGCTGGATTCTCGGCGAGGGAGAACAGTGGGAGAGCGAAAAATGAGAAGCGCGAATTTGACAAATTTGAAGTTTATTACTTCGAACTTAAAAGGATCACATGAAGCATAATTTCACTGCGAGGCCAGACTCAGCAGAATAGATAGCAAATTTCATGTGTCGCATCACGAAGTTTCAGATTGTCCCATAGTCCGATCAGAACATTTCGGAATAATTATTCATTTTTCTATGTGGTCTTAGAAGTTAGAGATTTTTCTCAAAATTGGTTAGGTTCAGCGATGAAAAGTTAAGTATCACAAACAATTTTTTTTTTTTTTTTTTTTTTTTTTTTTTTCCCCCAGATATGGGACCTTGCTTGCCCGTAGTAAATCTTTCTACAGAAAATTGACACTAATGACTTTTCAGTTAATTTGAGAGACACATGTAAATCCAAATCTCATTTATATGAAAACATTTTTGAAATCTTGTTCTAAAAAACACTGTTTTCAAAGAAGATTAGAAGAACGAATGTAAACTTTAAGCGATCGAAACAAGATTGTTCTGATACATCTGAGGTTAAGAAAACGAATCGGTACGATCAAATGACACCGAAAATTTATATATTTTCAATCATTCCAAATTCCAATTTAATCGATACTAAAATCAATAAGAAATCAACCTAAAACCTTTCATAAATTGCGTTTTTCTAACTTACGGTTTCAACTAATTTACTTCTTAATTTTTGGACGAGAGAAACTAACTCCCACTCGGAATCATATTCCCTCGCCCTCCTGACATAATGTAAATCCTGTCATCCATTTAACTTAATGCTTTTCTTGGCCCATCCAATGCAATCCATGGCAATTCCAGTTACGCCTTTTTATCAGTCAAGCGCCAATTTATAAAAGATTCGCTCTTAATTGGACCGCGTTAAACAGAAAGGAACCAAGCCACATCATCCGTTGCTAAATTTAACAGGGAAATTACATTTTTTACGAGAGAACGTCTGTGCGGATTCCTTTGAAAATTTTAAGGAATTTGCTTTGTATAAGGGAGAAAATTCACCGAAATTTGCACAAAAATTCGCACAACCGTTTTCTTGTAAAAAATTAAATTGCCCGATTAAATTTGGAAATAGCTGATGTGGATTGGTTTCCTTTCTGTTTAACGCGGTCCAATTCATGCCCACTTCCTTCCAATACAGCCTCCTTGATCTGGCATTTGAGCTCCTCTAGTCCTCTCAAGTCGTAACTCAGTTTGTATCTCAATCGCCAAATGCCGGAGGGGTCTGGAAGAGCACGAGCGTGGCTTTAACATCCGTATTTAGCGCCCCGCGCGGCCTTGAACGGAGTTAATTCGAGCCGCTATCGTTTTTTGAAGCTCGGAGGCGGGCAGCCGCGCGCTCTAAATCGTCGATATCTCATGGGGAAGCATCCTAAGAAAATCGATTGATCTGGCATTTAAACCCATGGAGGAGTATCGATAAACGACGAACACCGTAACAATCGATTCTATACCATAGCTTTAAACGGGGGATAGCTTCGATAATCGATCACTCACGCTGGAAGGAATCGCCACACGAGCAGCGACGGGAGGAATGTAAATAGGTGTGAGGGTATCGTGAGCTTTGGCGGGAATCTTTAATTTGTAAGGATTCCACGAGAGGTGAATTAAGGTGATTCAATCAATAGTTATCGACGGGCACCCCACGTTGACAGTTCGTGCGGGAAAAGGTTTGTTTTTCTCTTGCCGTGTTGGGGATTTTCGGTCCAGTCGACAACGATGTTCCGCGTGTTGGAGGATGAATCAGCTCCGGTGAAGCTTGCCGCACCCCCTCCCCTTGTTATCGCCCATCTTGTCTCCACCCACCCCCGGTTTAAGACGCCGCTGATGAAATTCGGCCGCCCTTCAATTATATGGGTTTAAGCGAAAATTATGGGACTGGAGTTGTTTCCATAGGAAGCTGGGTCGTTATGGGTGAATATATTTGGTTAGGAAAATCTGAGCAAAAAATCTTCACTTCAGTTTTTTCTTACCAAGGGTTCGGTTTCATACAGGGTTATTCAGAAGTCACGCATCACTGGCCATGAGGGGAGTGGTCGTTTGAAATTTTGGAGTTGCACCCCGCTCCCCTCACCCTGAGGGGATCAAAAACTGGAAAGTACCTAAAAAGTTTCCCTCTCAATATGAGGAAAAACGTCACAAACCGCAAATCGACATCTTAATTAGAACTAAACTTATGGCCAGTGGTGCGTGACTTTTGAATAACCCTGTAGGATAGCGTGATCGCTTCTTTGTTGGAGTATTCAATTTTTTTTCCTTCTTTTTTTCATATTTTTACTCAAATAAACATGAGTTAAAATATTTCGGCCCACCGAAATTTAGGATACAGATCACGGCTATTTCGACTTTCAAGTGACTTATATTGTATATATTCGAAAATGAAGGCGTCTCCTCGTTTGCACAAGTATCATCGCTTAATCAGAAACTTGAAACGAGTCAAGATGTTCCGCTGCTGGATCCTAATGACTGGTATCAGGTGCGTTTAATTTCTGGTTTAAAAATAGCTGAATTAACATCATCAAGATGAAAGCCCTTAGTTTCCTCCTCGCAGCGCTACACAAGTTAAGACATGGCCCGGCCCCGTGAATCAAGATACATGATACAATTATATCAACCTTGAAGTAACGCAAATTGCATAATCACGGAATCGAAGGAGCTTTTGTTTCAAATACATGTTTACTCCTCGCGGGGAGTGGTGCGCGTCTCCACCCTTCATCCTTGCATCTCTCGTTGGTTTTTCCTCTTTTCTTTACTCTTGACCTCATTTTCTGAACATGTCCTCTTAATTTTATTTTGTTTGTTTGCAGGCTGTAAAACGGCGTCAAGAAGAGAGCAATTTTGAGCGGTTTCAAGACTTGTTTCCGTCCGATTCACTGCGCCTTTATGACCGAGATGTTCTAACTATGGTGAGTATTAACTTAATGGAATATGTATGAGAGGCTAGGAAGGAACACTCTTTAAGATTTTTTTTCCCCTCAGAATTTTACATGAATAGTCATAAAATGTGGTGTGATAGATTCTTTTACCTATCTTAATTACTACCTATACAAATCGCTTCACAGTGTGGAATTAGTTTATACACCAATCAATTCAAATTACCATGAAATTTATACATTTTGGTTTTTTTTTTAAAAATTGTCTCTCAACAACTCTTACTTATAAATGACATAACTCGACCGTAAAATGTAAGAATTTTGCTTTTATGAAGAAATAAACTCGTAAAAAGTGTTTCCTACCCTACAAAAATTAAATTTTTCCGTGTTTACTGTATTAATTTCTTTTCTCTCTTTTTTTCGATGCTTCTTGAAAAATATGCTGTAAATAGTCAACGTCCAAAATAGTAATGATTTCTGTTCGATCCCAAAATTTTTACCTTTCACAAAAAATTTGCAACGCCACAAATCGGGATGGTATTTTTTTAGTTTCACCATCGATCAGCAGAATTCTTCGGACTGTTGCCTTATTTCCTAAACGGATCCGCTCATTCACCGTGCACTACAATGAAAACCAGGCGGATTCTCTCAAAAATCTGTGACATCGCGCGGCGAACAATGAAACAATCGCATCTTTGTGTCGATCGGCTTTGGCGGTGGAAAGCTCGCCGTCTCGTTGATGCATGTTGATCCTTGCCATTTTTACAGAGAATCCTCTCCTGGTCCGTAAGAAACAATGTAATGTAGGCAAATTGCACCATTAATCTAGCTACGTCGATGTTTTCCCGTGGGTGGATACCCAATTAAAAAGCAAATTAGCTCGGTCCTCAAGGATATTTCGCGCATCAAAAGCTCCTCTGTTCACCGATACAAGCCGATGGTCCCCCATTAACTCTGAAAATGACGTCTGTGCCCCCCTTCCGCCCCTCCACCACCTGGCGGTTGGTCGTTAAGATATCCCCGACTCGGTCTTAAACGTGGTCTCGTGGGCTTTAATTGAGCTGTTGATCGGTAGAGCTTCGTGCAAAAGTGAGCGGTCTTTTACAGATTTTCTGCAAGTTCGGTCAATTATTGTCGAGGATTTTGTCGCTCTAAAACCATGCCAACAGGAAGAGGAAAATACGGGCCGAAAATCTTGAGTAAAACTATCTGTTGTGCGACAAACTGTAGGCCAAATCCCTCCCTTTTGAATTGGAAAATTGATGATCTTGATCAACGCACGACAGCACTCACAATCGGAAAATAAATTGTCGTGAAAAGAAAGAATTGATTTTACGGCTTTGTTTAATGGAATTTAAGGATTTTATGAAAACCAGTAAATTTTCACCAAGATTATGACTACATCTAACTTATAGATAACTTTTTCTCTTACATCTAAATTTGCAAAAAGAAAGCGCTTTCTTGGTGTGATAAGGGCGTCCCTAAGTGCAATGAGAAAAATTGCGAAGGAAACATTTTTTTGTGTTGAGGATTCCGATTCTCTCAATGGTTGAGACGGTAATGCTCGTGAATTTACGAATTTTTATGCGGAGAAACTGGTTAAACTGCAATCACTTTTAGGCCAAAAGAATGATTAACAATGTTAGTAAAATGTTAAGCCTTAGTTTGAAGCGTGGCATGCGCAGCACTATGATCGCTTTTTCAGCAAACCCGCTGAAACTGATGCTCGTAATGTGAAGCGCCTTCGTTTACGGGCGATGCAATTTATCATACTCCGATCTCTTCATCGTATTCCATCGAAGCTTCTACTAATACGGTTTGCGGGCCCGCGCGAGTTCCTCTGTGATGAAGTAAGAATATTATCTCAGATCGGGGGTTACATCTTCTATCCCTCTCTCTTTTAAGGTATAATTAGTTTCATTAAAGCTGACTATCACAGTGAAAGTAGGAATATTTTTTTTCTCCTTTGTTCCCACGAAGTCCTCTACATAAAATGGAAAATTGCCATTAATTTCTGGAATACTTATGAGTTATTTTGTGTGCATTTTTCATGGAATTTTACTTCCAAATTTTTGTAGCGCCTCTACAAAGGGAAATATTCACCCTTTTTTCTCCATAATGAACACTAAATCGCATGCCAGAAATAACTCAACGCTACGCCCTAACATTTAATGTAAAATAGCACCAACTAAAGGCAGCACTGGAAAAAAAACACATTGGATCTAGAGTCCAGACTCTTGAAAAAATTGACAAGAAAAAGGACTCTTGATTCAATCAGATTTAAGCTTAAATCAAAAGGAAATCCGCTCAAATTAAGAGGCTTGGTTCTTGATTTAAGCTTAAATCTGATTGAATCAAGAGTAATTTTTCCTGTCGATGTTTTTAAGAGTCTGGACTCTAGATCCAATGTGTTTTTTTCTTCCAGTGAGTCTTATTGTGAACCCTGCAGCTTTAGGATTCAGCCCTACAGCCTTTAGTCGGCGCTATTTCACCATAAGTATCAGGACTCAGCGCTGAGTTGTCTCCTCCGCGTGGGGTAAATTTGACAACATCCGAAAGTCTATACGGCGTTTTACCTTACCGAAGCAGTATAGTTGTGAGAGCCGGCCCAGAAGTCGGGGCAGTAGAGCTGGGTGCCGGTCGACTATCCGGAGCGCCAAGAGTGGCCGACCAGGACCGTTAGCATTATTTGGCACAGCACCACTTAGTACGTAATCTACCCGGGTAATGGGCAGGGTATTAATACGAGTGCGCCGGCCGGCGTTTGCACTCATATCTATAGATACCGATCGATCGGTCCCACCGGTTGCCGCCGTCGATGCCAGCGCTGACGAAAAAAACGCGCCTCCTCCCGCTCAACAAGAGTGGGCGGATTTTAGCTGCGATTTGGCAACGCTGGCGGAGCGGCAACCGGAAACGGAGCGACGCGACGCCACCGCGACCGGCCAGCTTTCAATTTCACTTTCTTGGCTACCATCGCGGCCCTATCGAGTAAAAACCACGTATGTCCAATATAGAAACCGTGTCGATACGTGGTTTTGATCGGATACTGCTGAGCCCCTCAGCAGTGCCAACTTGGAGCCGATCAATTAGCTAATTAAACGCTTTTGTGCGGAGGATGGTCGGAGTGGGTGATAGGTCTGGTTTTACGCCCCTCCGTGCTGCATGGTCTGGCCGCGTCGATTTCAGCTTTGGCGGAGAGGTTTCGGGCTTGTTGTGTCAACATAACCTCAAATTATGTCATTTTTACGCTACGGGAGATTTCGTAATAAACGAGGTCATCGTAGTGGACCGAGGTGGATGTGCTCATCCGAAGGCGACCGATCACAACTGGGGTGACAGGAAGTCGCCGAAATCAAGTCTGGCCGCTAAAAAAATGGCCAAGTGTACGAATTTTGCAATGAGGAATCGATATTTCTGGCTCATTGTCAGTTGAACTACATTTTGCAATGAGGAAGTATCCCTGGCTCAACCATAAAAGCAAATATTTGCATGAGGAAAAGTTATGACAAATACGGTGTTTCTAAAATGAGCCAGAAAAAGTGACTCCTTAATGTCAAATTCAGTCCAGTTAAGGAACAACATCATGTTTTTTCTGGGCCGAGAAGTAGTGATTTTTTATTGCAAAATGTAATCCAACTGTCCACTTAGGGGCACGAAAATGGGGCATTGGACTAGATCCAAGTCAAAAAGTTACGATTTCAAGAAACTTCATCATTATTTTCTTTCCGACAAAATAAGTTGAAGACTTTTCTTGGAACTTCCTTTGCGAACTTGCATTGAGTATAAGCATTTTAATGTCGTCGGCAATTTGCAAGCTACCGTGATGCATAGAAAAATATGAATTTGGAAAAAAAAGAAAGAAGGGGAGAGCACTGATCATTTTGTATTGTACGTGAATGAACGCTTTGATCTTGTTTAATATGCATTAAAAGACATCACGGTAGCTACAGCACTCACACTCGCGTGTGCGTGAACTGAAATCAGAGATTTTAGTTGGGTTTGGGTCGGATAGGCAACTAAACTAACTCTGTGGCAAAGCGTGAAGTATCACGGAAACTGAAGGCGCTCCAAGCCGCTGCTCTCACATGTACGTGTACTGAAAGCAGAAATGCTAGATAGGTTTGGGTCGGATAGGCAACTAAATTAACTGTGTGGCAAAGCGTGAAGTATCACGGAAACTGAAGGCGCTCCAAGCCCAGATTATGTTTTTGAAATTCTATCATTAATAATAATACCTTGCCGATGTGTATTTTTGCGATTTTCTGAGGATACACGCAAGCTGCTTACAAATTTCCAGAGATCGCTAATTGCCTGCAACACACGCGAGAAATTCTGAGGAGTAAAATCAACTGAGATGCCTAGAGTTACTTCTATCGCAGAGCGCATTGGCTTTCTACGCTCATTCAAACCCAAATTTCTGCTCAAAAACCAGGTTGAATTTGAAAGCCCGCTTCTCAAGGAAAAGAGCACAGTTACCATTAGGTGGAGAATGGAGAGGAGAGGCCAGGGGAAGAAAATTGTGACAGTGCGTGATTTGTGGACGTTCAATTTTCTACAAGAATCTTCGAGAGGGAAACGATGCGATAGGCCCTTTCCAATAGCAATATTTAGCTATATGAGTAGCTACTCTCATGATCACTAAATATCTTCGTCAAGGATATAATATCCGCTTTTAAAGTTTTGTGAACCAAGGAGTGGCACATGTGAATGGATATGACACCAATAACCGAGACCTCGGGATCAGAACCGGCGGAAACGGCTGATTTCAATCGCCCAATCGGAAATGAAAGCAGTCGCTGCAGACCAGGATTAGACCACGAGTCTAGAACTAGCCGACTCATTGTCAGACTGATCAACAGTATACGCCAGGGTTGCCATTTGATCTTTCGCAAATTGATGAAGGTATACCTTACCTCTGCTCTGGATGATCAAGTTATGATTGAAGTGTCAAAATTAATCTGAATTCACAGAATTCGAAAAATCTATGTGGCAACTCTACTTTTCGCAGGTCAAAGAGAACCGGGTTGCTT